CGGCCCCCCCGCTGGGGGGGGGCCCCCTGCCACAACTGAAGCCAGCTGTTTATGATGGCTCTGGGGGCCAGGGCTCGGGTACATATTTTGGCAGACTGGTAACATTTTATTTGAATATTATTTGCATAATGAATATGCAAATAAATTGTTACTGGCCCATCAGTAGTTTGTGAATGGGTTTGCTGGTTTGCAGTATAAAAAAAGGTTGGGAACCACTGGTCTAATTGACTTCAGTGGAGTTATTAATGATGTGAAGGAGGGGGCAGGGGGAGAGAAGAGAGGATGGGATGCTTCAAAGCAGCAGTGCTGTGTGAAGCCTGGGACCAGACCTCGGGCTCCATGTGGAGCTGCCCAAGCTTTGAAATGCTGTGTGCAGCCCGGGGTCAGCTGGGAAATGCCGGGTGCAACAGGGGTCAGCTCCTGGGCTCCATGCAGCACTGCCACATTGAAACACCGTGGGGGATTGCTTGAGTCCCCTGCTGGCCCCATGCTCTCCACAGTGCTTTCTTTCATCTTTGAAAAAAGCAGAGGTGCCCTTATCAACTAATCGAATAGTCGATATAAATTGCATTGACTATTCGATTAGCCAATTAATTGAAATTTTACATCCCTAATATGCTTGTACCTTTGCAGTAGGGTTGCAACTTTCTAATTGCAGAACAATGAACATCCTTGCCCTGCCCATTCCACTCACTCCATTTCATCTCTCCTTCCCTCACTCCATCTCCCTCTCCTTTACTCTCCCCTACCCTCCCTCCCTCCCGCATTTCCACTGAGCTAGGGCAGAGGGTTAAGGTTCAGGAAGGGATGAGGACATTGGCTGAGGGGGTAGGTTCTAGGGTGGGGTTGGGGATGAGGGGTTTGAAGTATAAGACAGGATTCTAGTCTGGGGCTGGAGATTGGAAAGGGCAGGGTATGAACTCCAGGCTGGGTGTGTGGGCTCCTGGGTAGGGCCAGGGATGAGGGGTTCAGGCTGTGGAAGGGGGTCTGGGCTGGAGCTGGAGGTTAAGGAGTTGGGAGGGGGGGTGAAAACTCCAGTTGGGGGACGTGAGAGCTCTGGGATGAGTGTTTTGGAGTGCAGGAGGAAGCTCTGAACTGGGGCAGAGGGTTAGGGTATGGGCAGGTTCAGGTGTGGGAGCCAAGTGGCAGTGACCTCAGGTGGTCCCGGCATTTCCGGGGATGGAGAAAAATCAACCTGGCTCCTTGGAAATGGAAGCATGTCCCTCTGGCTTCAAGGTGGGCAAATGGCCAAAGGTCCTCCACATGCTGCCCAGTATCAGATTCCACCCAGAGCACCAGTTCTGCAGCTCCCATTGGCCACTTCCACTGCAAATGGAAGTTGCAGAGCCAATGCTCAGGGCAGTGCCTGCAAGCAAGGGCAGAGCATGGAGTCCCTC